TTAAAGGAGCCCTGCCATTTAGGGGAAAGGAATATGGGGTGCTGGTCTGGAGGAAAGATCTCCGATGTTAATTGGCGATGGACAGGGGTTGACGCATGGTTGGGTGGTAAGTAGTCAGTTAAATCCCATAAGAGGGAGCAGAGGTGAGGCAATAATGAGGTGAGCAGGTGAGCAGGGAGGGGTGAGGGTTTAGGTGAGAGGCTGGGAGCCAGAACCAGCCACCCATAATGGGTCCAAAGAGCGAGATTGAAAAGGGTTGTTTGGGGAGGGTCCAGAGCCTGAAAAGAGCCAGAGGCAAAAGCTTTACCCAGGCAAGGTGAAATTCCTGTAACATCTTAACAAGAATATTTTTTAAGGAGCAGTTAGTTCGTTCTGCCTCTCCTGAGGACTGAGGATGGTATGGGATATGAAAATGCCAGGGAATGTTAAGAGCCTTAGAGTTTGAGAGATCTGGGAGTTAAACTCTGGTGTTATCTGACTGAAAAGAGGTTGGGACTCCAAACTGGAGACTAATTTCCCAGAGAAAGACATCAGAAACTGTCTGGGCCCTCTTGTTAGATAGTAGTAGAAAATGTTTAAATCCACCCAGACATGGTATCTACCAAAACCAGGAGATAGTTAACCTGTCTGACTGTGGGCATATGAGTAAAATCAAGCCACTTCTGACACAGTCTCAGCATAAGGATTAGGACACACCCAAGCCCAATGCCCATTTTCTCCACATTTAAAACACAAGCCTGGTGGCCCTTGAGCCCCGGGTTGGGGAACAAGGGAGCTAGGGAGCAGCACGGGTAGGATGGGTAGTCGCCATGGCCAGTTGGACGGCCTTGGCCAGCATTTGGCATTTTTGTCTACGGGCTTTATCATCTCTTCCATGGTACACCTTTAAAGTCAGCCCTAAGACTTCCGCGTATGGGGTCAAGGAGCCTCTCTCCAAAAGCTTAAGTTTAAGTCTAATGCCGGGGAAGCTCTGGGGAAAGAAATGGGCCATGAGGAGCGTTCACCCTCTGAACTCTCCAGATCTAAATTAGTGTACTGCAGAGAGCCTTTGTGAGGGTTCCAAGAATTGAGAAGGATTTTTCCTGCCTGTCCCGGGAGTTTACTGGCTGTCAGGAAGCAAGTCACAAACTAGTCTCTAGCTAAACCACCTGGGATGTTGTAATCCCAGTGTGGGTCCTGCTTGGGGACCGCCTCAGTCCCAGGGTAGGGGCAGTGGGCTACATTAGTCTGGTGAACCTCGTCTGCATGCATTCTAGCCTGCTCCCAAACTTGCTTGTGCTTCTCAGGAAGTAGGTTATTAGTTAGGATCATAAAAATATCATGAAAGGTGAGACTATAAGATTGGGTAATATGTTGGAATTGTTTTATGAAAGAGGTAGAATCCGATATGTAAGAACCCAGTTTTTGTTCTGAGAATGAGAAAGGGACATGTACCTTGACCAGCCCCTCCATACTGGCTACCTCTCGCAAAGGGAGAACTGCTGCTTGTTTGGTTTGGTCAGGGTTGGGTTCCTTAGCAGCGCGAGAGTGCGTGAGAGGAGGGGTGAAAGCAGGTGCCAGAGGGTGGCGGGGGCACGGCAACAGGAAGGAGGAATAGTTGCTGGGGGAAGGGGAAGAGCTGGAGAGGTCGGGAAATCGGGGGTTTATTAGCATGGTCCAGAACAGAAGTGGGGTGTTCCTCTGAGTTAGAAGGCATAGGTAGGAACATGTGAGCTGAACAGGTTGCAAGGACAGAGGGTGTAGAACTTAAATAGAAAAAGGCTTGAATATATGGGAGCTCTTTCCATCCACATATTCACCCACAGACGTGAGAAAGCTCCCACAGAATAGCTGGATCTAAGGTTTAGATGTTATCAATTGTTAGGCCGTGTCTTAGTGCAAAGGAGGATAAGCTCAGGAGTCTGTAAGTAAGGCGTTAAGCTTAGGGGCTTTAGGGTCTCCAAAAGGCATCCCAGGGGAGAGGTTCAACTGAGCACTGGAAGGTTTATTTCCCATAGCCAAGAAAGGGAGAAAGAGAGAGATGAGACCCAATAGCTAACTTGTCTACAAGTGTCCTTGAGACAGAGCAAGTGATTGGTTCAAGCTGCCCCAAGGCTATCAATGCAGGGGCCGGGGACCAGGGCAGAGTATTCTGAGGGACAACAGTCCAAGATGAGAAATGGGATCCCAGTCCTCAGCTGTGGGGAATTACCAGCGATGAATGTCAGCAAAGGGATCAACTGTAGCCATGAAGTCTGTGGCTGGGGGCATTCCCCCGTTCTGAAGAACACTAGAGGGTTGCCAGACAACCAATGGTCAATTATTTGGGTTCAGGGAAATGGTTAAGCTGACCAGAAGGGGCGAACTCACCAACGGTACTGGTGCTGTGCGCAGAATTCAGCAGCCTGGCAGATGGAATATGGGCAGTTGTGGAGCAACCCGGTCCAGGGTCCCAACCCTCGTTGAGTGGGGCAGGAGAGCCTGTGGAGTCTTGGCACCAATGAAATTACCAGGTGTGATGACAGATCACAAGACACACAACTACAAAACCTACTTTAAGAATTTTTTTAAGAGGTGGGACTAAGAGAAGGGGGTGCTCAGGCCGGTCGGCAGCTTGGTGTGGGAAGAGAATGCGGAGCGGCATGTTCAGCTTTTAAAGGCTGTCTAGCACATGTGCACAGAGGTTTACATAAGCATGTCACACATAGATCACAAGACCACACTGCACAGAGATCACGTAGATCACGTAGGCTGGAGAACCCTGGGTGACTGTGTAGGTTGCTCGAATGCTTGATGGCCCATGCGTGGTCGTGGAAGCTGGAAGTGCCAGTGCTTGGGGCAGCTAGGCATTTGCCAGAACGCTGGCAACTTTGGGTGGTGGAAATGATAACAGTCGGGTCCCCTGGAACTGGAGTTACAGGCAGGCATGAGCTGCCATGTGGGTGCTGGGAATTGAACCTGGGTTCTCTGGAAGAGCAGTCAGCTCTCTTAACCACTGAACCATCTCTCCAGCTCCTGTTGTTGAAGTTTTAACTTTTCATCTTGTAGCACCACAAGATTTGAACCTTCCTTGGCAGTTTGTGCTTTACACATTAATGCACGATCTCTTTCTGCTAAGAGAACTTTGTGGGGTCCAGCAGCTGACTCAAGAATCTCAGTCCCACTGCAACCCCAAAAACAAAGGCAAAAATGAGCAAATGTCAATACTTTTTGAGTATCAAAATAATACACACCCATGGCAGCTCTAGGTAAACTGTAAAATTCCCTGGAAAGGAAGAGGGGGAAAATCCACAGGGAAACAGAAAATTGAGGCAGGTAGGAAGAACTGAAAACAAAACCCCGAGACCTCAGGCCAAGGGGGCTGTATGCATTTGTGTGTGTGTGTGTGTGTGTGTGTGTGTGTGTGTGTGTGTGTGTGTGACTCACCATCCCCTCTCTTCTCTCCTCATCCTATCTGTCCTTCCTCACCAGGAATGATGATGACGTAGGTCTCTTTGGGTGAGAGCATCTTGCAGGAGGCTTTGAGAAGACTGGAGCTAGAGCTAAGATGTGGGGCCCCCATCTTGGGAGGGTGGGGCTCAAGTCGTAGCACATAGCCATGGGATTGGCTTTAGGGAAAACAGTGAAGGCAGGAGACTAGAGATCCCACGGGGTGGATATCTTGGTCCAGTGTGCATTGCTACTGTAATAAACACCAGAGATTTATAAAGAGCAGAGATTTCTCACAGTTTTGGAAACCAGTCCATCTAGGCCTTGTGCCAGCAGCTGGTGAGGCTCTCTGGCTGTGTCACTACATGGGGAAGAGGGTCTTGCAATCTTGGCTCGCTTCCTTCCTTCTTAGAGAGTCAATAATCTCATTGTGGGGGTCCTGCCCTCCTGTGTCATTTACTCCTAATTACCCCCCCAGGACCTCACAAACAGAATCAGTATATGGATTTGGGTGTTATGTTTCCAACTCATGAACTTTCAGGAGACACACTGAAACCATAACAGAGTGCAGAGGATGTGGAGTGAGGAAGGGGGTTATAATGGGGAGCGTGCAAGAGAGCTGAGTCCAACCCCACTGACCTCTCCTTGGAGTGTGACAGGATTCCTTTTGCAGTTTCCTAAAACGTATTCAATTATGTTCAATAAAAACAAAAACAAACAAACAAAAAAACCGCACACACTCCCTGGAGAAGTCTAATTTCGGTACCTGCAAATCTAAAAAGACCAAGATTGGTGGGAATGGTGTTCTTCCTGTGAAGAACATGGTATTTTGGTGCCCCCTGCTGGTTTATATTAGCGACTGCATATCTTCCTGCCAGGTAGCTTTATCTTAGAGGCAAAGCAAGCCTGGAAGGCTTTTCTTCACTGGGTAAAGAACACAGTGAATTCGCCAGTGACAAGGGACAAGTCCCCTGAAATGACTCCAGCCAATGTACATGGGAGTAGTAGTAACATACAAGAGGTACTTGGTGTTCTCAATGAATTCTTTTAGGGCCACGCAGGTAAAATTAAGACCTCACTGAAGAAGCAGGGAGTGGGGGCTGGGTTTCCGACTCATAGATATGAAACACTCAGACTTGCTTTGGGGACAGAGATTATAAACCCATGCACACCAATGTGTGTATACAAGCCAGAGTAATGGCTAAGGGCAGCAGGTGGTGAGTGGATGCTGACAGACTCTTTCTCTCTCTCTCTCTCTCTCTCTCTCTCTCTCTCTCTCTCTCTCTGTGTGTGTGTGTGTGTGTGTGTGTGTGTGTGTGTGTATTTGTGAAGCACCTTGTCCCATGACCCTCAGCTAGGTATTCACAGTGCGTGGTACATATAAAAAGGCGAAGGGATGCTGTGTGGTACAAAAGCCACTATCAATTAGTTTACGCTAGCATTTTATAGATTTTTTTTTTTACCACAGAGTCCTTTTTCTTGTGAACTACTAACTGCTATCATGAATATAGCTTGCTTGGGAACCCAGGAATGGCCCCTGTGACCAGATGACCTCTCTCACTTCTGCCTATGCCTTACTTCTCTCCTTTCAGGCAGACATCTTCTCTGGAGCTCTGTTCATCAACCTAGCCTTGGGCCTGGACATCTACCTGGCCATCATTATCCTACTAGCAATCACTGCCCTTTATACAATCACAGGTGAGTCCATTCAAGCGAATCGTCAGCTCAAGTCTGGCTCAGGGTTGGGAAAAAGGCTATTTTCTTGGTCTCTGCGGCAAGCCATGTGAATGTGCGGGGTAAAAAGCTCCCGTGCTGGGTGGAGGAATGTCAGGAGAGCTTAGCCCTGAAGGTTGTGGACAATGTGGCAAAGCTAGGACAATTAGAGGCATGCCAGGTGAAAAAAAATGTAAGTGAATGGAGAATGGTGGCAGAAGAGGGTAGGGCGGGGATCGGAAGCAAGGCGAGCCTTCAGGTACCAGAAGCAGGTGGTTACTGCGAAGTAGCCGGGAGAGAGGAGACACAAAGCATAATGCTATAAACAGGTACGGGGTCCTTGGGAGCCTTAGATGTAATGTGACTGGATTAAGAACCATTTCGAAGTGAACGAAAGATATACAAAGAGGTTTCCGAGTATGATTTGAGGATGGCAGAGACACGTGTTCTTTGCAGGAAGAAAGGGGGAGGAGCCACAATGGGACTTTCTGTTCCATGGGCGCCCAGTATACCTGAGGATGAGACGTTCCTTAGAGAGGTTGGGATGTAATTTACAGTTGGCTCATTTGTCTGTCACACACATGTGTACACACACACACAGAGAGAGAGAGAGAGAGAGAGAGAGAGAGAGAGAGAGAGAGAGAGAGTCCTGGGTTCCATTTCTACCATTGCAGAGTCAAAAAGAGCAAACATTCCTTTGTGAGCCATTTCCTAGCATTAAGCTCACAACAAGTACTTTCCTTTCCACTCAGGTAGAGAGGTAGAGACAAGTGTCTTCCCCTTCCCAGGCCTTGTAGTTATTTTCATGAGAGGCAAAGGCCAGAAACAGTTCTGAGCAGCAGGATTCGGGGGCGGGGGATGAAGGTAGGGGAGGGAAGGCAGGCAGGTGGTGGTGGCAGGGAGTGGAGCTTCTTGGAGGGAGCACTGTGGCCAAGAGAGGGTAGTAGAAAAAGGAAGCAGGCGGGCATCATGTGCTCCGTGTGATCTATTGTCTGTTTGCCTGCTTAGGGGGCCTGGCAGCCGTGATTTACACAGACACCTTACAGACAGCAATCATGCTCGTGGGGTCTTGTATCCTGACTGGATTTGGTAAGTCGGGGCAGAGGTATAGAATTCTGAGAAGACGGAGCAAGTCTGGCTTGCCTGCCTACCTTCTCTGATGTAACCAGTCTTCTGTCCCACCAGCCAGCTCCCAAATAATAACATGGAGACTTATTATTAATTATGAAAGCTTGCTCTTACCTTAGGCTTGTCCCCAACTAGCTCTTGTAACTTAAATTAATGTACTTTTATTAATCTATGTTCTATTATGTGACTTTTTTTAACCTCCTCTCCATTTTTGTATGTCCGAATTTTTCTGCATCTCCTGGCATAATCTGTGTTCCTAGATTCCTCCTCCTCTTCCTCTCTCTTGCTCCAGCAATCCCACCCATCTCTCTTGCTTGCATATTGATCATTTGACTTTTTATTAAACCAGTCACAGCAATATATCTACATACAGTGTACAAATATCCCATAACACCCTGTCTAACTCTATAGCTTGGTTCAGTGGTCTCCAGTGTGGGCCCGTGGTAATGTGTTGCTGTATTTGCAGAGAACCTGGGTAAAAATGAATATGGCTAACGACTCAGCAAGCCACACAGATTCACACGCCGTGTTTGCAGGCTGAAACTATATCCTGCACACACTGTGAGGTTAAAAGGTCAATGTTTTTGCATTGTTGGTGATGAGTGATTTTTTTTCATTTAGAACAATTTAAAAATTGTTCACTCCATGCTGGCAGCTTTGATCATTTTTTGTCCTTGTCTATAAAGACAGCATTGAAAATCCTAGCTGTCATGAAGAGATAGAAGACATATTTTGATTTTTATGTTTAGTGGGCCCTGTGGGTATCATTAAAGACTCTTGTTTAGAGTCTTTAATAAACTCTAGAGTTTACTAAACTCTGGAGTTTAGAGTTTATTTTCTTTTTCTTTATTTTTTTCTTTTTGGTTTTTCAAGACAGGGTTTCCCTATATCTTTGCAGTCTGACCTGGGACTGTCTCTTGTAGACCAGGCTGGCCTTGAACTCATAGAGATCTGCCTACCTCTGCCTCCCTAGTGCTCGGATTAAAGGTATTCACCACTATCACCTGATCAGAGTTTAGTTTTCTAAGGACTTAGATCTGCTTCCCCCGCAGGCTCTGGGGTCAGCAAGCACAGGCTAGGATGGCAGCACTAAGATGAGAGCTGGCAAAATTCTCATCCCTGCCCCGTTCCCAGGCATCCCTGGGGGCAGCCGTCCTGCCTGTGTCCTGTCTCCAGAAGGCCACTGTGTGTCCCTAGCTCTATGTTCTGAGTTCCAAAGACCATGGCAGACAGCTGGGGTTTGAAGAAAACCAGTCTGCACATGGTCCAAGGCCAAGTCTTTCTTTAATAAGGCGCCTCCCTTTCCATATTGTGTGCAGTCAGGGCACTGCTGCAAGCTGTTGCTTTGAAATGCCAGTGTCTCCCAAGAAGGCGGGGCAGTTAACACTCCCGTTTTTATAAATGAGAAGCCTGAGGTCTAGAGGGAAGATCATTTACTCCAAACCACACATCATGGGTGTTTCCCTATGCTGGTATCCTCTTAGTGCTAAGATACTCAGACATGAAATCACTACAAGGAGTTAAATTTTTCACAGTGTTCTTTTTTGCACCAATATTTTTCAGCCTTTACTGAAGTGGGAGGATATGATGCCTTTGTGGAGAAGTACATGAAAGCCATCCCAACTGTGGTTTCTGATGGAAACCTGACCATCAAGGAAGAATGTTACACTCCCAGAGCCGACTCTTTTCACATATTCAGAGATCCTATCACAGGAGACATTCCATGGCCTGGGCTCATCTTTGGCCTCTCCATCCTCACCCTGTGGTACTGGTGCACAGACCAGGTATGTAATCTAGGTGTGGAAGCAGACAGGGTGCATGACAGGGACTTCCACCTGTCAGGCTATTGGGGTTGAATATGTAGAAGGCACACGCGGTCTGTGGGTTGCTGGGAACCAAGGCTGAAGACACCAAACAGGGCAGCTGGGATGTCAGAGGGTCCCAGAATTCCCAGAATGCACAGCTCCTCACTGGGATGTTCCTGACAGGTCATTGTGCAGCGCTGTCTCTCAGCTAAGAACATGTCTCACGTGAAGGCCGGCTGTATCCTGTGTGGTTATCTGAAGGTGTTGCCAATGTTCCTCATGATCATGACGGGGATGGTCAGCCGGGTTTTATACACAGGTAATTCCTCTACCCGAGCTCAGTCCATTTTTCCTGTGCTAGCTCTCAGGGACTTTGGAAGCTCTCTGGCTCCTTTGTTCCATTTCTTTTGTGCCATGATTACCAAGCAGCAGGGTTGCCTGTGTCAGGCAGTGTACACATTGGAGACACAGAATTCCTGGGGTTGTCCTTACCTAGTCCTTTTAAGATCAATTTACTATTTTTTTTTAATTTAAAGTTGTTTGATAGCAAGCTCGTCACCAAGCCTGAACTTGATCTCTGGAGCCCACGAGGAGGAAGGAGAGAACCAGTTTCCTCATTTACACCGACAGCTGTCTCCTCATTTTTCTCCTAATCTCCACAGTCATGACATCACCCAGGTTCCCTCCTCCAGAAAACAGTGTTTGCTCGCTTGCAGCTCTGCACCCTGGCCCCTAGGCCTGTGGTGGGGTCTAAGAGTCTATTTTGTAATTCTAATGCCAAGGCCCAGGCAGCTGCTGCTGGCCCTGTGCTCTCTGCCCTGTTTCGTGGGCCATTTCCTTCCAAGTGCCCCACCTTGACAGATTCACCTTTGGTCTTTTTCTGGCATCTCAGCATTGTTATCTAAATCCTGTTGTTATGAATACAAATAATTTTTGGTTAGCTATTATGAATCGAAACCGTTTTGAAATGCAAAGTAACAACAAGAAGTAAACAGAGCACCACAGAGTGACAGTTTGGCAAGTATCCCCCGAAATGAAGTCAGAATCGCTGGCAGGCATTGGCTGTGTTGTCCTTGGTTGCATGCCCCTCTTGACTCTCATATTCCTGTGCTGGCTTGTACACCAGGAGGAAAACATAGTTGCCTTCTGTATTCATAACTCACACTTCTGTGGATCTTCAGCCAACTACATATTGAAAAATATTAAAATATTAGAACCTATGATGAAAACATGTGAGTTTTGCCTATCACTTTTTCCAAACAACACAGGACAACAGCTATTTCCATAGTACTTCTAGGTTATTCTATGTTGTAAGTCACTGTAGATGACTTCTGGGGAGGATGTGCATGTGTTAGAGTAGGTACTAGGCTATTTATTTAAGGAGCTGAGCCTCTGCAGACTTTGGAATCCACTGGGTAAAGAATACCCAGAAACAATTCACACATGGATGCTGAGAGATACCTGTTGAGCAAACAGAATAGCTCATGCCCTAATGGCTACTGCATTTATTTATTTAGAATAAATATATTTATTTATAATAAGTGTATGAATTGGTACTGTGGTACAGTGCTAAATAAGTATTTAAGAAATGTTGAGTCAAATTCTATTTAAGTTTCTAGAATTTTCTCCAATATTTTAGATCTTGTTCCCTTCTCCTCCCAGTCTATTTTTTTTTCTATCTCTGCTCCATTTCTCAGATCTTGGGAGTCACCCTAGTTTTCAAAGGATTTGACTGTATGTCTAAAAGTTGTTCAAAAAACCCTCAAAACCAGGGACACAGATAACCCTAATTATCATTACCAAACTGTTGAGGTGGATGGCAGTGCCTCCTCCTTTCCCACCATATCATTTGTTTCCTTTCTGTCCTCTACGAACCATGTTTCTCTGCTGTGGGAGCGTCCAGATGTGTCAGGGATAACAGGCCAGGGCATGGCACAGAGGATCTTAGCTGGGAAACACTCTTTCCCTGACGCTGTTTGGGTACCAGGGGGATGTCTTGTTTGAAGTGTTGCTTTAAGGTAAATACTGCAACCATCAGAATCATTGCTATCCAACGGAAGCTCGCTGATGCATCTGTTCATCTCTCTCTAGACAAAATTGCCTGTGTGATCCCCTCGGAATGTCAGAAGTACTGCGGCACCTCAGTTGGCTGTAGCAACATCGCCTATCCAACCTTGGTGGTGGAGCTCATGCCTAATGGTGAGACTTTCTTGGGAGGTCAATTTGGTTTAGGCTCCACCGAGACGTCTGAGTGCATTCTGGGACAAAGGCTTTTCCAGGCCAGGGAGAAAGTCCCATTTCTGTGTTTCTGAGTTTGGTTTATGTCTTCACAACATGTAGTTCAGTTGGAGTCTATCACCCTGGGTCTTGTCCATTAGTTGGGCTAAGAAAGGAAATGAAAACTTGTTGGGGTGGGGGGAGAAATTCCCTTTCCATGCCTGTCTAGATCATCATTTAAAATACTTAAACAAAGAGGTTATACCTTACAATGGCCATTTTGGAAAACAGTGTAGAAGCTCCTGAGGAAAAAAAAATTAAAAGTAGACCTACTATAGGATTCACCATTCTCCATACAGGGTTCACATCCAAAGAGAATGGAACCAATATGTTGTAGAGATAACTGTATTCTAGTGTGCATTTTAGGCTCGTGCACAATTGCCAAGACAGGGAACCCACCTTAGTGTTTAAACATAAATGGATAAAAATGTGCTCTGCACAAACAATGGGTAACATTCAGACTCACGGGAAGGGGATCTGTTCCTCTGTGGGAACACGGATGCTGCTGCAGGGTGTGAAGTGAGAGAGTCTGTCACAAACACAGATGCTGAGTGATCTCATCTCTGTACTTAGAGAGAGAGTATGAGTGTGTGAGTGTGCATGTGAGTGTGCGTGTGAGTGTGTGTGTGTGTGTAAGAGAGAGTGTGTGTGAGTGTGCATGTGAGTGTGTGTGTGTGTGTGTGTGTGTGTACATCACTTTACCCATGAAGCCACTGCACTGGCCCCTGCACCTCATTTTCCTCACAGTTTTAAAAGTCCACACTGTGATAGAAACGTTAAGCACGTAAGAGGGAAGCAGGCATCTATAGAGAACAGCTTAACTGACAACACCTGCAATTGCCTGCGTTTTCACTCATTTATAGTAACAGCTCTTTTCCTGTTACATTTTTATTATTGTTATTAGAATATATTTACATCATTTCCCCCATTCCCTTTCCTTCCCCAACTCCTCCCATGCGCTCCTTTTCACTCTCAAATTCCTGTCTTATAAAATTTAACACACACACAAACATACACACATGGAGTCCATTTAGTGTTGTTTATGTGTATATGATTTCAGAGCTGATCACTTGGTATTAGATAACTAATTAGGAGCTCATCCCAAGGGGAAGACTATTTCCCCTGCTCTTAATGCCCCTTAGTTGCCTGTAGTCCTTTGCCTATGGTTGGGTCCCCTTCCATGTTACCACGTCTACACTGGTGTTGTCCTTGTTCGGGTATTGCTTAAGCAGCCATATTGTTAGGGTATTATGCATGAAACTTCCCTGCCATTTCTAGGAGACACAGTCTTACTGTCGACATTTTGGTTCTTTGGGTCTTATAATCTTTCCACCCTATCTTCCAAGATATTCCATGAGCTTTAAACCATGGGGTTTTTGTTTGTTTGTTTGTTGTTTTTTAAGATGTGCTATCTCCCTGAACTTGGAGCTCTCAGTTTTTTCTGAACTGGCTGACTAGGGAGCCCCAGGACCTGCATCTTCCCCATCAGTTCTGGAGTTAGGGCTATGAGCCACAGTTCCTGGCTTTATGTAGATGCTGGGGATCTGAACTCAAGTCCTCATGCTTCTGCAACCAATACCTTACCCCCTGAGCCACCTTCTCAGCCTTTCATCCTTTCGTGTGTGTGTGTGTGTGTGTGTGTGTGTGTGTGTGTGTGTGTGCGTGTGTGTGTGTTCAAGTTTTCTCTTGAGGCAGAGTCTCGTTATGTAGCCCAAGCTGGCTTTGAATTGAATTGGTGTTAGTCTTCTCATCTGAACTTCCCTAGTACTCGGATTACCAGGCACACCAGCATGTCTAGATTTCTTTTTAAATTTCTCTCCAGAGCTTTATGCACAACCTTGGGCAGAGCATTTGTATTCAAATCATATAAGAGGGGAAGTATATTTAACTACTCCCCTGAACTTGGCTGCTTATTAGTTAAGGTTCCGATGAGCGTCAGTCACACTGGTCTTAGCAGGAACAAGTGTGATTTCTCCAAACTGGCCCTGTGCCCTGATCTCATGAGAGCCTAGCACATGGTGCTAGAGGGAACAGTGAGCAATAAAAAGCCATGTGCAAAACAGCAAAACACTGTGTCTGTCACCTGGCTTCTGTGACTACTGAATCCCCTGTGTTAGACCACCAGACACTTCCTGTCCCTCGCCTTACGTCACTCAATTGCATTTAATGCCATTGGTCATTTGCCTCCTCGAGTCTTTCTCTTTGAGTCCATAATGTTATCCTCTCCTGTTGCCTTTCCACATCTTCTTAGGCTGCCTCTTTTGGTTCCTCTTGTAGTTTCAGCTTTTCAGCCAGCAAATGTTCCCCAACTAATCCACATCAGTCCTGCCCATTTTGTCTCCTAATTATCATGCACTTTTCTTCCTGCCTATTTTTGCCTTTCTTGCCTTACTTAGTCTGCCTTATCATAATTTGGGGGGGGGGCTAGAAGGTCGCACAAGTACATTTAGCAAGCATTTGTTCAGTAGATAAGCAGATGATGGTTTAATGAGAATAAAACATTGAGAGATTAGGTTGCTTGAACCTATGCTGCCTGAACTGTCAATGGCAAAGCTGATGTGGGCATAAGTCAAACAGGCCTTAGCTGGGCGATGGTGGCACACGCCTTTAATGGCACTCAGGAGGCAGAGGCAGGTGAATCCCTGTGAGTTCAAGGCCAGACAGTACTACAGAGTGGGACTTCCAGTACAGGCTCCAAAGCTACAGAGAAACAAAACAAACAAGCAAATAAACAACCAACAACAACAACAAAAACCAAATCTTGTTCCAAGACAGGCAGTCTGTGTCACAGACCTGCTTCACCAGATGATTTATTAGTGTGGCTAACAGGTTGTGGTACAGCCAGTCCAACAATCATTGTTCCCTAACAGAAAGTTCCAGAATCAAGTAGTTGTTCAATCCATGAGGTTGGGTGTCTCAGCTAGTCTTCAGTATATGCTGGGATCCCTAAGAAGTAGGCTCCCATAATGGGCTTTTCAGTGAGAGTGACGTCAAGCAGGCAAACAGCAAGAGAATCCATCTTCCAAGTCCTTTATACAGGCTGCCATCAGAAGGTATGGCCCAGAATAAAGGTGGATCTTTCCACCTCAAAAGATCTGGATTAAAGGTGGATCTTTCCACATCAAAAGATCTGGATTAAAGGTGGGTCTTTCCACCTCAAATGATTTAATAAAGAAAAAAACACTCCCAGGTGTGCCCAGTGGCTTGGGTTTTAGTTAATTCCAGGTGAGTCAAGCTGATAACCAAGAGCAGTCACCACACTCTATGCTACAGCTTTGCCAGACGTGAGTTGTTCATTTCTCTAGGTTCCCATTCGTGAATGTCTTATCATTCCCTCCAGTCCTGCTTAGACATCCTTCTTCTGTATCATGACTCTTTAGTGAGTCCTTACGGTTGTCCCCTTGGCTGGAAACACCTACCACTGCTGTGACCACCGCACTCACCACCACCACCATCACCATTTAGTTGAAAAGTCTCCGATGTTTCTCTTGTCTCTAAATCATTGCCTGCTGTGGTCTTAGAATGTAAAGCTCCATTTCTTGAAGCTTCTATTCTTTCTGGAGAGAGAAATTTGAGACACAGGCATGGTTTCTAAAGGCAAACAGACCTTGGGTACTGCTGCACAAGAAACAGAGTCAGGGTGACGAATGTCACTCAAAACCTCGTTCTCTTTCAGGACTCCGAGGCCTGATGTTATCAGTAATGATGGCCTCGCTCATGAGCTCTTTGACCTCCATCTTCAACAGCGCCAGCACCCTCTTCACCATGGACGTCTACACCAAGATCCGGAAGGGAGCAACCGAGAAGGAGCTCATGATTGCAGGAAGGTAAATGCAGCTTCCTCCTCTCTGCCGTGTACCAGGGGAGCTGAAGGTCACAGAAGGTTCTACCCACCGTAGTGCGGTTGGCAAGATTGGCAGGCACTTGGTATAATCAGTTATCTCTGTGCCCAGTTATAGTTACCATGTATGGGCACTTTCTTTTATTTTCTGTGGTACTGGAGGATTGAAGTCAGGTCTTTTCTCATTCTGGGTGAGTACTGCACCACAGAGCTAGACCCCAGCCCTGGCATTTCATTTTACATCGAAAAGAGTTGAGCAGTGTCCCTCTGGAGTTAGGAGAAACATAACAGATCAACTTCTTTATCTCAGGCTACCAATGAGCATTACTAGAATGAAGTTACCTGGGTCTTAACTAGACCTGGATTGGGCAGAGCCAGGACTGCCGGCTGCAACCAATTAAGTCCCTGTACAGGGCTCTGAGTATATTCTGTGATGTACAAAGTACCAACTAGGTGCACATTATATTCAGATGGTACTGGCACTTGCAATGCTCTACCACTGAACTGCATCCACACCCCTTGTTTTTTGAGAAAACAAGGGTACTTAATGCCACAAAGGGGTGTGTGACCAGCAGAGAATCTACTACTTTGCATTCTACTGAGCAGCACTGAGGTTTTATTTTCCTTAGAAGGTACCTACTGGAAAGAAAAGCAGTTTGTTAACTTGTACGGTTCTAGATTTCCTGGTCCTATGATTGTACTGAATCTCACATTTTTTTGTGCCTCCCATAACTACTGACTTTGGGTTTGCTCAGCCCTGAACAAGCTCACAATGGCATGAAGCAATTGTAATGTTTGTAAGAGCAATTCAGGACCCAGATAAGAGAGAGATGAGCATGACTTAGTGTGGTAGGGGGAAGGTTTTGTGGAAGGAGATCTTAGAGTCAAAAATGGCAGGTAGGGTTTGAGTAAATCGTGGGTGGTATGGGAAATCCATCCCAGAGGGAGACCTATGTAAAAGCACTACTCATTGCTTTAAATACACATGGGGTAAGGAAATTCTAGCTTTATAATTAAACCAAGTGCACAAAAATAAGAGCATATAAGAGAATCTCCCACTGTTTTACAACATGAAGTAAAACTCAAGAAGAAGAGAGCTAGGAAGACCCGGCCACTTCCCGAGTAGACGGCTCCTTTAGACCCTCTCCTTGGCTAATGTTTTTAATTAAGACTTTATAAGAAAGAAGCGTGGTATTTTAAAATTTTTTATTTAATTTAAAAAATTTTTAATTTGAAAGCCAAGTGTGGTGGTGCCCACCCTTGATCCCAATACTTGGGAGTCAGAGGCAGGTGGAACTCTGTGAGTTCAAGGCCAGGATGATCTAGAGAGAGTTCCAGGACAACCAGGACTGTTACACAGAGAACCCCTGTCTCAAAAAATCGAGAAAGAGAAAGAGAGAGAGAGAGAGAGAGAGAGAGAGAGAGAGAGAGAGAGGAAGAAGAAGGAGGAGGAGGAGGAGGAAGAGGAGAAGAGGGAGGAAGGTAGGGAGGGATGGAGGGAGGGATGGAGGGAGGGAAGGCAGGAAGAAGGGAGGGAAAGAGGGAGGGAGGGAAAAAATTTTATTTTTTAAATTTAATTTTAAAAATTTTTAAATTTAAATCTCATATTTGTGACATTTTTTTCTCTCATTAATCTTTTTCCCAACCTTTTATTCTCAGTTTTCAGCTGAAGGGAGATTAAGTGCCATGTTTTATATCATGTGGAAACAATGGGAATTTGAACCAATGATTATCTTGCTCCTGAGTCTGTAGCCCTGTACCTAACTTTGAGTCTTCTCAAAGCGGGATTTTCATCCATTAGATCACTGGGCCAAGCCGCCTGTTGAAAGTCAAATGAGTTTCGATTATTCATAGACACAGATAACTTTTCTGATGCTTAAGCAGAGCAAGGAGGAAAGAAGGCTCCAGAATGAATTTGCTTATTTCGCTTCACTATGGTAGCATGAGATATGCATATATTTTTATAGTACTCGTGCATATATGTCTGCTGGTGACATCGACATGTAGGTATGAGCATATAGGTTTATATATTATTGGTACGTATTTGTTCATGTAGAACACTGATACACTACTGTGGGCTTTGGTTTCAGGTTGTTCATCCTCGTGCTGATTGGCATCAGCATCGCCTGGGTGCCTATCGTGCAGTCGGCTCAGAGTGGACAGCTCTTTGACTATATCCAGTCTATCACCAGTTACTTGGGGCCACCCATCGCAGCTGTCTTCCTGCTTGCTGTTTTCTGCAAGAGAGTCAATGAACCAGTAGGTATTGTTCTAGCAGCTCCCGAAAAGCCCGTGTGCGCTGCCGCAGTGGCTTATGGGGGTTTGCATATTCCCTATGAGAAGGATTCTGTTTTCCAGAGATCTCAGACAGAAATGACGTGCAGTTAGAGGTTTGGCTGAGATCCCAAGGGCCCCCGAGAGCTGGCATGAACCCTCAGGAGTTAGTATCAGATCCACATTCTCTCTGATCCCCCACCCACCCAGTCCTGGCTATAAGGTCCCAACTAATAGTGTACGTTTTCCATCCAATCTTTTTACCGTTTAGGCACTTAGTTTTATTTTCTTTGATTTTGGTCTCTGAAATATGATGTTTACATTGCCTTCCAGAGAACTAACTTGAAAAGGTATAGGCCCTGGTTACCGAAGGAGAAATAAATAGAACAGAGGTGTCTCGTATGGGGTGAGGGGTGACAGAGACTGTGACCAGACAGCATCCCCTCCCTTACTCTTTGACAAGTTAAGTCATGTGGTGTTGCACGGTGTGTGAGTTAGAGATAAGGGCCACACTGTGTCTTTGTTCAGTGACTTAGTGTTTTACCATGCTGTGAAGACCAGACAGAGGCAGTATCTATGGGGGATCTTTTCTGGTCTTATCTATTTCTGTTCTCTGTGCTTCTTGTATTTATATGGGTGTGTCTTTCTTGGTTTGGACGAAGTGTTCTAGGATCTAACTATTTCTGTGTAGTTTTATTCTTCAGTTTCATATTCCTTGCTTATTTGGCCTAGATCCTTTACCTAATCTTTGTGTCCTGATATCCTGTCTTCCACTTGATTCACTGTACTCATAAGCCTCCCCTGTGAGGTTTCCAGTGGAGGTTTTCAATTCCATCTTCACATTTCATCTTCAGTCTTCAGGGCTTCTATCTCCTCACTGAATTCTGTTCTCACATCCTGGATTATCTCTGCCGTTCCCATCAGCCTTATGTTTGCGTTGTCTTGAACACCACGCAGATGTTTATTCTCCTTCATTTCGTTGAACTGCTTGCTTGTGTCTTCTTTAAACTTGAATTCATTGCTGAAATTATGATTGTTCTTTTCAATTCTGAGTCCCGGGATTCATCTGGGTGACTTTCACTGATAAAACTTTCTACAGAAATGATAAGTGGAGGATAGGAGACATTGGCTCGATCTTTCATATTGTTTGTATTTTTGTGACGACTTCTGGTGTATGGGTTCTCTTGTTAGTTCTGATGTGGACAGAGCAGGTTGGACAGAGGAGAGCATGTGCCTGTGGGTTGGGCCTTGAGGAAATGGCTCGAGTGAAGTCAGGTGGACAGAGGGGACTGCTGTGGTCTAGGATGTGCCTCCTGGTCTAGACTTGAATGCATGGGTAGATCTGGCCACATAGAAAGGTTGGATATGTTGTGGGAGGAGGTTGTGGGTTGAAAGCAGGTAGGTAGAGTCTGGCAGAAGTCTAGAAATTGGTTTCAGTGAAGAACAGGCTGTGGCAGTGTCTATGGGGTCAGGAGCAGATTTGGCAGGTTGGGGATAGTGTGTAAATGGGGAGGGTAAAGGAGACTCATTGAACTGAACCCCGGAGGAGGATGTTGGCTATTGGCTGGGTGCAGGGGTTGGCTGCTGTGCATAAGGGACCTGTGATCAGATAGGGTCGGTCCTGGTGGAAGTCAGAGGTTGGTTTGGATGCAGGCAAAGGAGGTAAATTAGGCAGTGGCACTGGATGTGGGGTCCTGGGATATAACAGGTAGGTTGGGGGGAGGCATGAATGAGTCAGAGAGAATCACTAGATGAGACCCTGGAGAAAGGTATGGGAGATTTGGCAGAGTAGAGAGGTTGGATGTGATGCAGGAAGGACATGTAGGTTGTTGGAAATGTTTTATATATTTTTATGGAAAAGTTCCTTTCTTCCTCATTCCTCAAAGTCTTTATTTAGTTTAGTTCTTTTTATGTCTTCAGAGAATTCTTACAATTTATCAGAATGTACAGAATGCAATGAAACAGAATGTACATGACTTGGGAGTCTTCTGAGGACATCAGCTGAAAGTATGTAGGCTCAAATTATTGCTGATGTAGTTTTTGTGGTCCTGAGGATTGAGAACACGGCCTCACACTTTTAGTCAAACACTCTACCACTGAACTACACCCCTCATCCTCAAACTAGCCTTTCTGTTAGGAGGAAGGTTTTGAATTAATATGCAATGTTAATAGTCTATACTGATCAGTAAATATTTGAACCCATTATGTTTTGAATTTTTGTTTTATGATCCAGGATATCATGTTGTTGAAACAATAGAGACAGACTCATGAAAAGTGCTACTTAACAGTTCTGTCCCAGATCTGATTTCAGTGTCCTGTCTGCAGATGACTCACAGGAGCCTTCTCTCCTGTTTCTTCATCTCTGGCTTTTCTACATAGGACAATGAGAACACCAGTTGCTTTCTTGTTTCAACACAATTAACCCAGAGTTTTCTTTTGCAGGGAGCCTTCTGGGGACTGATTCTAGGCTTCCTGATTGGAATCTCCCGTATGATTACTGAGTTTGCCTATGGGACCGGGAGCTGCATGGAGCCTACCAACTGCCCCACTATCATCTGTGGGGTGCACTATCTGTACTTTGCCATCATCCTCTTTGTTATCACTCTCATCGTCGTCTTGGCCATCTCCTTCCTCACCAAGCCCATTCCAGATGTGCACGTGAGTATCCATCTATCCGAGTCTTTCCTGCCCGTGTTCCACAGTCCTTGCTGCAGCACCCCGCTGAGCAGCTCACACTTTACAGGACTGAGATAGTTCCGGCTGATCAATGGTTTCATGTCAAAGGATTCAGGATGGGAAACATGGGATGCTTGCTGTATCAGCACTGTCTGGTCCAAGGCCTTACAGCCCAGACTTCAGTCTGGGACTTTCCTGAAGACTCTGCTTCCTGAGTGACACCTACAAAGGGAGGTGAGGTTACTTGACAGGCAACATAATACTCTAGATTAGAAGTCCACGTCCAAAATAAGAAGTGTATTTCATGTGAAAATTCCATGGCCAAATTGTCCAGAAGTCCTGGTAAGGGGCATGACTACTTACAAAAATCATCCACTCAGGAAAACTTAAACTATAGCTTACTTTTTGAATTTTTTCTAAAGTAGATATCTTTAACAGTATGTTTTCTGCTGCTATAATTGAATGCTACAAAATAAGTAGATTATAAATAATATTATAAACAATATTTATAATTATAATTAATTATATAAATAATATTTGTAATGTTAAAAATGGCACTTACAATATTATAAGTAATAGTTAATTTCTTTCACCATATGGATGTTGGAAAGTCAAAAGTTGACAGGCTTTGTATGGTTAGGGGTTTCATGCTGCATAACAATGTGGTAGTTGGTGTCATGACAGAAGCTGCCTGTGAGAGAGAGGGAGAACGGATAGAAGCCAAACTTCTTCTTCTTCTTTTTTTTATCAGAAAGGTTCTCCCAAGGTAGCAGTATTAAGAGGTAATTGGATTACTTCCTTCCAAAGATTACCTAAAGAAATACTCCACTCTTGATATTGTCACACTGGCAATTACATCCCAGTATTTGTCTTGGAAGCAACATTCACACCACAGAATACTGTCAATGCCCACCCAACTGAAGCCTTCAGAAGTCATAAGACACTTCTTTAGCTGCATATGTTGCCATTGGGTTAAAGTTATTTCATAGTTTTACCAATTCAAAGAAGGATAGTCAATAATGGGCCCATTTTATTATAATAAAAATAGTCTGATGACCCAATAATACAACATTCTATTGTTCCTAGGTTATCAAGGGAACAGAGCTAGAAAAGGAACCCAACATAGCATTTATCTGTAGAAAAAAGGTTTACTCCAGCACATACTAATACAAGCACCCGTGAAATCCCTAAGAGAGCTTTAACCTCCCTGACAGATTATCAAGATCTGAGACAGCCTTAATGTAAAACAGAATCTGCATTTATAGCTGCAGATTCTACAGCTTGTCTTTTGCGAGCTCTGTGGTAGGGATCTTTACATTGTATCAACCATTTTGCTATATCTCATTCTTTGGAAGCATTGAAACTTCAGACATATTTAGTTCTGAGCTTCCTTGTGTTTTGGTGGAGACTCCTCATTCATTCCCGGCCACCTAGACTCAAAATAATCACACTGAAACTATATTAATTGCAACACTGCTTGGCCAATGACTCCAGCATATTCCTAGCTAGCTCTTAATATTAAATTAACCCATTCCTATGATTTTATATTCTACCACAAGGCTTGTGGTTAACTCCAGGGTGTACTTGTCTTCTCCAGTGGCTACATGGCTTCTCCTGCTTCTGCCTACTTTCTCCCAGCATTTAGTTTAGTTTTCCTGCCGAGCTCTGTTCTGCACTATCACAAGCCAAAGCAGCTTCTTTATTCATTAAAGAATAAAAGCAACACATATACTGGAGGACTTCCCACACCACTTGTAAAGTAGAGAAAGCAAGGCATTCAACAATAGGCATAACGGGGGTGGATGTATGGCATTGGTTCTCACAGAATTTTGCAAATTCCTACCTCACATTCCAAACTGTATCAGTAGAACCCACCCCTGCTCTACCCTGTGTTGACAGGGCCCATGTTTGTAGTCCTTATTTCCATAGTGTGACAGTGTTCAGTAATAAGATTTTACAATGCTTGTTCGCATAAATGACCTCTAGTCTTCTTTCTTAACAGAAGTGCTGAAAGGAGCAAATTTAATTATCTGAGAAAAGTGAATTCATTCACACAACAAACATTTATATTTCAGGTAGTTTCTTTTCATGAGTATAACATGGAGGGCTGGCTAGTTGGGGCCTGCTTGTTTGTGTTTTCAGTCCTGCCAGATTCCCATGACTATTTAGCCACAAAGAAAATCATACAGAGATCGCTATAAGTTATAAAGCTGATTGGCCCATTAGGTCAGGCTACTTATTAGTTCTTGTAACTTATATTAACCCATTATTCTGATCTATGTTAGCCATGTGGCTCAGTACCTTTTTCAGTGGGGCAGATCACATCCTGCTACTTTGGTGATCTGGGCAGGAGTGGGAGGAATCAACTTCCTCCTTCCCAGAATTCTCCTGTTCTCCTTGCATCATTTCTACTTCCTGTTTGGTTTCCCACCTATACTTCCTGCCTGACCAATCAGTATTTATTTAAAACATGATTGACAGAATACAGACAGTTCTCCTGCACCACATGAGATTTTTAATTTTAAAAATGTAAAAGCTCCATTTTATCTATTTATTTTGTGCATGTATGAGTGCACATGTGTGTGCATCTGCATGCTGCAGTGCATACATAAAGGTCAGAGGATAACTCCCATGAGGTACTCGTCCACTTCTATTCAGTGAATCCTCAGGACTGAACTCGAGGCTTCATGCTTGGCTGTACGCTCCTTTATTCATGGAGCTATCTCACTGGCCCAGCACGTTTAAATTTTTTGTATTTTTTATTTCACTTTGCCCTTTATTTCTGTTTTTAACTTTTTGCTATTAATATTATTGTACTTCTTTGATATTTTCACATATGAACATACTGAATTTGGTCATTTACACCGTCCATTACCATCTCATCCCATGTCTCTCCTGAAACTTTTCTTTCCACAAGCCCCCTATTACTTTGGCTCACAGTGTTTAATTATGACGGCTTGCATGAGAGTAAGCCGGGAGTCATCTAGAACCTGGGAGCTTGTCACTGGCTATCCCACTGGAGAAAATGGCTCTTCCTCTCCAGCAGTCTTTAATTGTCTACAGGCCCTCAGCGTGGGATGGGGTGTAACATGAAGGGGCCGGCTTGTTGGGGTATCTGTCCCAACTGGTACCCCACAACCGGCAAACCCCAAAGAAAAATCACACACAGGACTCCATAAGGTTATAAACTGATTGGCCCTTAGCTCTGGCTACTTATTAGCTCTTATAACATATATTACCCCATTATCGTTATCTATGTTAGCCACACGGGCTCAGTACATTTCTCAGTGTGACAGCTTACATGTTGCCTCTTTGGTGGTCTGCACAGAAATGGCAGAGGAACCTTCCTGCTTCCCAGAATTCTCCTGTTCTCATTGCATCACCTCTACTTCCTGTCTGGTTTTCCCGCCTATACTTCCTGCCTGGCCAATCAGCGTTTTATTAAAATACATGATTGACAGAATACAGACAATTCTCCCACACCAATGGGGTCTCCTGAGTGCTTTCCCCATGCAGGAGGAAATGGTGACAGCTCCATCTTGTGCACGTCACTGGTGCAGTGAGGTCCCGAGTGCAGGGGGCGTTATGTCTAGTCACTGCTCCCACACTCCTCCCATTCTGGTCTCCTCTATTCTTTTCCCTTCTCTCCTGTCATTCTTCCTAAGCCTTGAAGGTGATGCAAATGTCTCATTTAGGGATGAGCTGAGGCATCCTCTTAGCCTCTCCCTAGACTATGCTACATATATTATGTGGGATTTCAGTGGGAAAGTGATTCATGATTTCTTGGTATGGCAAGGCCATATTCATTTCCTTTTATGATGCATACTTCTTTGTTTCCCCAAATTCTTGGCCTAATGCACTATTTCGATCTTTCTGGTAATCTGTTCTGCTCTCTCCATAGCTGTACCGTCTGTGTTGGAGTCTTCGCAACAGCAAGGAAGAACGGATCGACTTGGACGCAGGAGATGAGGACATCCAGGAGGACACCAAGGATACAATTGAGATAGGTGTGTTCCTAAGCCACTTGTTGAAGTCTTTAACAAATGCCTTAGTCAATGCTCACATCTCTTCTTGAGGACTGGGGAAGGATGCTGAAAATAGGTGCAGATATGCATGAAGGAAGCTCACCAAATGGGTGACATTGGGAAACCCTCTCAGCTGCCTTTCTCCTCAGATTTTGCAGAACTCAGTGAATCAGAGAATGAAGAATAATTTGTTCTTGATGTGGAGCACAGTCAGGGTGGGGGATTAGGACTTTCTGGTATAGCCTATGATCTGAGACAAAGATGTATTCAAAGCTATGTCCACCATATGCTCTTGGCATCTTATGTTTTTCCACAGTAGATTAGAAAATCCAATTTCTCTGGATTCTTAACATGATGCTTAGTGACCATAGACTTATACTTTGTGATATTTTTTCTGTTGTCTGAGTTTCTGTCCTGCCCAGTCCCTGCAGTTGTTAAGTCCCAAGGAAATCACACAGGCATCTACACTAACTTTAAACTGATTGGCCCATTAGCTCAGGCTTCTTATTAACTCTTTTAACTTATATTAGCCCAATATTCTTGTCTATGTTAGCCACGTGGCTCAGTACCTTTTTCGGCAAGGCAGTCATATCTTGCTTGCTCTGTGACTGGGACAGGACTGCCAAGGAATGAGCTTTCTTCTTCCCAGAATTCTCCTGTTCTTATTGACCCACCTCAACTTTCTGTCTGGTTATCCCACCTATGCTTCCTGCCTGGCTACTGACCAATCAGTGTTTATTTAAAATATAATTGACAGAATACAGACATTTGTCCCACACCACTTCCCCCTCTTTTTTTTAAAGAACAAAAACTCTGAATCTGATATCCTTTGTTTAGCTTTTCTCCTGACCATTAGCCATAACAACTTGTAACCAACATTCTAAACAAAGGAAAATATCCATAGTCCATTTTTTGGGGAATGTGAGCGTAGTTCTCCAGGCTACTTCCTGCTGATTGGGGGTGCTGATAATCTTATGGGGACCTAAAGAAAATTTAGAATTATGATCAAGTCCAGACTGGAGTATCCTGTGAAGCTTGATCATCTCAGGCAACATTCTTGAATCTGTTCTGGATGTAGAATTCAGACATCTGGTTTATCTATTCCTACCAGAGATTTTTCAGGTGATTAAACCTCATTTTTCTTAACTCAGAATGAATCCAAAGCCACTAATTTCCTGTGGAAACAAAAGCAAAACCTCTTCTCCATAGTAATATGCCTTTTGACTTCAATTTTGAAGTCAAGGTATTTTCAAAGTCCCTATCTTGGATTAATTCAGCAGCATTTATAAATAAATATCTTTTGGCAGCTGTTGCTCCTTCCTCGGCATTCAAACAATTCAAAGAGAACATAATACCATACTGTATCCAGACTCTCTGTATATTTTTAATCTTTATGTAGCTTTATTTTAACCTCTATTTCTTTTATTTTTACTTTTACTTTTAATTTTTGGCTTTTGAGACAGGTTCTCTGTGTATCTTTGGCTGTCTTGGAACTCCCTCTGTAGACCAGGTTGTCCTTGAACTCACAGAGATCCACCTGCCTCTGCCTCCCAAGTGCTGGGATTAAAGGCATATGCCACCACACCTTGAACTCACAGAGGTCTGCTTGCCTCTGTCTCCCAAGTGTTGGGATTAAAGGTGTGTGCACCACACCCAACTCTCTCTCTCTCTCTCTCTCTCTCTCTCTCTCTCTCTCTCTCTCTCAGGACTTTAACCTTTTTCTTTTCTCTCCCAAGCCTGCATATATTTTTAACACACTGTAAAACATTTAGAGGTTTTCCTCATCTTTTAATCTCTCTTTACTGTAGATCTCTCTTTTTCTGACCACATGAGTCTTTAATTTGTTAAGCAATATGGCTAGAATTAAAGTCATGGCTTTTGTGGATGGATCCAGCCCATTCCTTAGCTTTCTGAGATTCCAGCCTCATGGTGAAGGTACAAACCAGAGCCATGTATATTGCCACAATTCTATGGAATTTCAAGGCGCCTGACAGCAAGCAAGCTGTAGCAGTGTGCTCACAAACCACACTCAAATGCTCTGTGGCCAGACCTCCTACCTGAAAGAGTCAGAGCTTGTGCTGGCAGGATGGCCCAGAAAGCCAGCATTTTAAAATGGCAAGGCTTTTCTCCTGCTACAGCTGAAACAAAAAGCATGTGGTCAGCTTTTCATCAACACCATTTAAGTGTTTTGTGCCAGGGCCTCTTAAAAGAGCTGCAAGGTTTTACAGCTAAAGCTGAGTCAGGAAGCCTCTCTTAAATGAGAGCACTTGCCTCTAGCAAGCAGAGCCCATCTGAGAAAATGCTGCTATCAATAAGCCATGCTTAAATCTATTCTTTTTTTTCTAGAATTACTTCCCAAACTTTCTCAGGCTTTATGTGGATGCAGTTTCCACGTGGGCACCATTTGTTATCTGAGGTTTCTGTTCAGCCTGGTTCCCGCAGTCATTAAGTTCCAAAGAAATCACACAGAGGTCTTCATTAGCTATAAACTGATTGGCTCAATAGCTCAGACTTCTTATTAAATGTTATAACTTATATTAGCCCATTATTCTTGTCTATGTTAGCCACATGGTTCAGTACCTTTTTCAGCAAGGCAGTCATATATTGCTTGCTCTGTGACTGGGCCAGGACTGCCAAGAAATGAGTTTCCTTCTTCCCAGAATTCTCCTGTTCTCATTGACCCGCCTCTACTTCCTGTCTGGTTGTCCTGCCTATACACCCTGCTTGGCTACTGACCAATCAGTGTTTATTTAAAATATAACTGACAGAATACTGACAATTGTTCCAAACCATTTTTCAGTTTTGGGTATCAAGTTTTACTTAGGCTTAGCATATTGCAAGGAGAGCACTCTATCTCTGAGTTCCCCCACTCCAGCCCCAGGCTTAGTCTTTAAATTAAATCTGTCTTTAAATTTGTGCTGCAACTTTTTCTATGTGGAAGAGAAACACACATGGGTATGTGTGTATGGTGTGCAGAAGTATGGTAAGGTTAAGTATTCAAGTCTATGTGCTTTATTTGGTACTGAAATGGAAGGTTGGTCCTGCAGACAACACTAGATGAAGCAGTAAAAGTTACGAAGCTGGCATCAGACACATAGACTCCTAGTGGCAGACCCACTAGATGCTGAGCTCACCATGTGCCTAGGGACCACTTGGCCTCATCACCTCACTTCAGAATTCTGATACATGTATGTACTTGGTCACTAAAGTTCCAAATATACGTGTGTGAGCTAGGAATGGTGGCATATACCCATAATCCAGGAGTCGGGAAGCCAGTCTGGCCTCGTATTGAGGCTCCATTTCCCACCCCCCAAAAGCATAATAATACCTAATAATGTCCTATAAAAACCTGAACGTAGCAATCAGTAATATCTGAAAACTGTGTTAACACATAGAGTGGGATCAGGGGGAAGGGACCTGACCTGCAGACCCCAAAGCTTCAGGATCTCCACAACACAGAGCAACAACAGAATATTCAGGAGGAGCCCTAGCGAGGCTCAGCCTAGATCAGGTGGTAGAAACCAGAGGCCTCGAACCAGACCAATGACTCCGTGCAATGAACATTTCCAGTAGAGCTATATAGACAAAGGGGCTCATGGTATGACTCACAGTGTCATGCTGCAGCTTCCCTGATGAGATTTTTATTTTCCCCCCTTTTAAAATTTAATTTATTTTTCTCTTTTTCTCTTAAACTTTGTGCAGGGGTGGAGGATGGATGTAAAGGGATGGGGAAATGAATGGGATATGATGCATGATGTAAAGACACAGACTAAAATTTTTAGAAAGAACAAAAATACTCTACCACCTTAAAAAAATAGAGTAGGGTGGATCTCACAGCTGGTGACTGGCAGAACTGGCGTCTGAAACTACGCCTGTCTGTCTCCAGTGCCATAACTGACCTCTGAGCTGGGAATTTGCTCCCTTGCTGGGCATCCACTTTGGGTGTCGGCACCATCTCATGGCTTTGTCTAGCAGTACTAATGTGCACCTGCAGACTGTAAGCCCGGCGGGTACTGACTGCTGTGGCTATGCATCAGGACCTGTTCAGAGTGGCCCTTCCCTCCGGCTGGGTCTGTGAGGCCTTAGAACAGGCAAGTGCAGACAGCTCTCCTCTAAGTCAGGCCAGCCTCCCTGCCTTCCAGTGGCATAGCAAACGGATACGGGTCCTATATTTCAGAGGTGGGTTTTCCGTATTCTCCCTAAGTCAGTTGTCCATCTCGTTGTTAGCATGTCCCTCTCATAATCTATTATTTTTATCTGACTATTCTAAATCAAAGCACATTTTTATTGGTCTTGGAAGAGATAAACCTCAGATTAGTTGACCATGAGAAGCCAGAATCCAAGTCAACCCTGTCTCATGCTTTGAACATTGTATTCAATTTCCATTCTGGAAAACAAGAGAATTAGGATTCTTCTATAGAATGTGGATGCTTTGTGGCATTCCATCTTCCCAGGAAACTCTTTCTAGTCCCTTTAGCCCAGTGGTTCTCAACTTTTGGGTCTTGACTCCTTTTGGGGGGGTCAATAATCCTTTCAAAGGGGCATTCTAAGACCATCTGCATATCAGATATTTACACTATATTTTATAACAGTAGCAAAATTACAGTTATGAAGTAGCATTGAAAACAGTTGTATTATTGGCGGTCACCACAGTATAAGGAACTGTATAAAAGGATCACATCATTAGGAAAGCTGAGAACCACTGCTTTAGACTTTGTATCCAATAATCTTTGGATGTCTATTTGCAGAAACAGAAGCTCCCCAAAAGGAGAAAGGATGCTTCAGGAAGGCATATGACCTGTTCTGTGGGCTGGACCAGGAGAAAGGACCGAAGCTGACTAAGGAAGAGGAGGAAGCTTTGAAGATGAAGTTGACAGACACTTCTGAGAAGCCGTTGTGGAGGACAGTGGTGAACATCAATGGCATCATCCTGGTGGCTGTGGCTGTCTTTTGCTATGCCTATTTTGCTTGAATCCTGCCTTCTGATGTAGACTTGGCAAGTCTGGCTTTGTTATTTCCCTTTAGACCATTCTGTGGGTGTTTGGGGAAATTGTAAATTTTTCCCATTGGGATTATATATGTATATGTGTGATTTTAGAGTTGCTAGAAGAAAATAATTAAATTGCTGTGAACTTTTGCATTTGAAGCCAGTGTGGCACATGTATTTGCCTCTACTAGAGTTTAAGAAGAGAAATTGACACAGATCTAGGAAAAGTCCGACTTAGCCACAGGAGCCTGTGTGGTCTCATGCTACTCTGCCTCAGTACATCCAGCTTGTAATTATTGTTTATAAATACTTCAATAAGATTTTTTTAGAAGTTGTAGTCTGGTTTCTGTCATTTTCCTACCTGACTCTTCCTTCTTTGTTTTTAAAAAATCTTTACCAATCACTCATATGTTAGATTTTTTCTAATAAAAAGAAAATCATTTTGACAAATGGACGACTGCCCAGAAAATGAGGACCATGACCTTATCCTAGAAATTTGTTTCTTAAAGTGGTGGTCTCAAGGGGACAGTATTTATCTGCAGTGCGGGGACTCACACCAATTGGGGGTGCAGACAATCTTGAGCACCAGGAATTTTCTGGCCTTTAGGAAATGCCCAATGTGTGTCTCCTGTGTTTGTTACTCGTCTCGGTGTTTGCTGTGCATGGAGTGTCTTAGCTGCTCAGGAATGTACATTGACTCCATGAATTTTATGACATTTTTGATGGATGCTGCTTGGTCCTTGCTTAGTTTGTATTTAACTTTTTTATTTTTGTGGCTGCACAAAGTATACCTCTGATGTCTAGTATGGAGAACACTGCATTTCCTTGTGGCCCCTGCCTCATGGTGCTGATGTTGACATGAAATATGTACTTAGAAGTTGACACTGAGTGACAGGACAGAGTAAAGGCTCCTGTAGGGGCATATGCCATCCAGACACAGTGCACCTTCCCAGGAATCATTGACCTAATTAGCCCACGGTCCTCTTTCCCATGTGTTCCCATGGCCACATTGGTTGCCTTTTAAGGTGTCCCTGTTGGTGATCACCCACTGACAAGACTAAGGCAGATGCCCTTGTCTCTAGGTGGCAGTGCTTGGCTACCTAGAGCTAAGTAGGAAGAAGAATGTTGATGTTGAGCTAGTTTTCCATGGGAAAATAATTTTCATTTAACTTAAAATTAATGAATTAAAGTCATCCTTGCAAAATCTCAATTATTTTGTAATATCCCATTGAAACTAGGAAATCAGTATGTTATTGTGGAATGATTTTAAGTTAGTTTACCAAAGAGCTGAGTAAAGTCTTGGACTTAGATCTGGCTCCCAGGGTCAATGGATGGCTTGTGTTATAGGAAAGAAAACCTGGAGAGAGTTGCTTGAGGTGTCGTCTCCTTCCCCTTCAGCTAGTCTGAGAAGATGGAAAGTGGGGAGTTACTCATGGCCACCCCGGCACAGAGTGCTGTCTTGGAGGGCTTGGTGGTAGGGTGTGAGTCTTGAGAGGAGAAGGGGGAGGACTGAAGCTTGTGGGTGGAAAGGGCGGCATGAACTATATCAATGGTTTTGTTTTCAGTTCTTGGCATTGCCTGTGATTTACTGTATATATTTTAATAAATTATTTTGCCTGAGATGTGTGTTTTACTCTGTGAAAGAGGGAAAATCTTGGTGCTCATAGAATCTCCTGTGGTGTGGAGAAGACTCTTTGGAAAGGGGATGGCAGACACATGCAGGAAAGTGACAAGCAGATGCTATGTTAAGTTGTATTTTTGTCCCAATGGTTAAACAGTATTTGTGTTGATAAAAATGAAAACACTAAAATTCTAACAACTTTGGAAAATAACAGATAAAAATTGAACTTAATTGTGATTAGCATTCAGATATGGGACATGCACACACACACACACACACACACACACACACACACACTTGAACAATTAAAAATTGTAGTCAAAACCAGGTGCAGAGGTGTGAGCCTATATTCTCAGGTACTAGAAAGGCCCAAATAGAAGGAACACTTGAACCCAAGAGTTTGAGATAGCCTAGGCAATATAAGCATATCTCAACTCAAGAAAAATGTAGCTATTCAACCCAAAATACAGGTTGCCCTCTGAGTTCATACAGTGATTATGATTTTGGATCTTTTAGGTTATCTTTGAAGGTTAGGTGTAGTAATTGGAGCGGCAGGCCACTTCCCGCTGCCCAGCTAGCTTTTCACAAAATAATTACATGGAAACTGTATTCTTTTAAATACTGCCTGGCCCATTATATCTAGCCTCTTCTTGGCTAACTCTCACATCTTGCTTTAACCCATATCTAGTACTCTGTGTATCACCACAAGGTTGTGGCTTACCAGGAAGATCTAACCTATGTCTATCTCAGGCCAGAGCTTCATGTCATTTGCCTGACTCTGCTTTCTTTCTCCCAGAATTCTGTTCTGTCTGCTCCATCCACCTAAGAGCTGGCCTATCAAAAGGCCAAGGCAGTTTCTTTATTTGACCAATGGAAGTAACAAATAGACAGAAGACCCTCCTACATCAGTTAGGGAGTGAACCAAGTCTTAGCTCCCCACCTATGGTCACCTCTAAGACCAGGGAGATGTGTCAAAGCTTCAGTCTTCATTCTGAAGACTGCCTTCTGGGGTCAGGGAGCACAATGAGACTCTGTATTCCTCCACCAACCCCCCTTTGAGGTTAAAGAATGCATGGAGACTTGGTCCCCCAGCCAGAGCATCCTAGAGGTCAGGGTGCAGTGAGATTTCAGCCCCACACTGATGGTTGCCCTTGGAGTTCAGGGAGTGAGCAGAGACTCTGGTCCCAACCTGTCTCCACACAGCTCTCATTTCCCTCTAGAACTATTCCTGATTGATGTCATACCCAAGATCACCACAGCAGGTCTCCTCAGTCTCCCACTGCTCACATCTTTCTTCCCAATTCTCTGTAACCCCCTTTCTCTCCATCTCTCAAAGAACAGAGGCCTCCCTGGTTTATGGGATGTTCTAGCTTCACTTCTGATGCTAAGTCAACTCTCCTGACATAGAAGGAGAGGGTTTAGTCAGCTTCTAACTCTAGGTTATGGTCTTCGATTTCAGGGAAGTCAAGGCAGAAACTCAAGCGAGTTACATTACATCCACAGTCAAGAGCAGTGAGAAACAAATGCATCAATGCTTGCTTTCAGCTAACCTTCTTCACCAGTGTACAGGTCAGATCAGTCCATAAAACGGAGACACCCACACTCTGGGAAAGAAAGAAATTCCTACAGAGGGCCCAGGGGCTAACCTTATCTAGATAATTCTTTAATTGAGGTTCTCATCCCAGGTGACTCTAGGTTGGGTCAAGTTGTCAATTAAAGCTAACCAGCACCTCCATGACTCAGTTAAAGCTAACCAGCACCTCCTTTACTCAGTTAAAGCTAACCAGCATCTCTGTGATTCAGTTAAAGATAACCAGCATCTCTGTGACTCAGTTATAGCTAACCAGCACCTCGGTGACTCAGTTAAAGCTAATTAGCACCTATGTGTCTCAGTCTCCCAGGAGCTGAGACTGTTGTGTTATCCGATTATATTTTTACCCCTCTTTCCAGTCTATTTTTAACCAAATTCTCTCTCCCTGCTCAGCCACTCCCCCTTCTATGTATGCCCTCCTCCTCTACTTCCTATGTGATATTTCTTTCTAATTTGTTTTCAAACCCACAATAACTAATGTATTAGTGTAGTAGGAGAGAGACGCTTCTTAGTTCCCACTTCCCAGAACTGAAATAATCACACAGAAACTGTATTATTTAAATCACTGCTTGACCCATTAGCTCTAGCTTCTTATTGGCTAATTCTTACATATTAATTTAACTCATTTCTATCAATCTGTGCATCACCATGTGACTGTGGCTTACGGGCTAAAGTTCTGTCCAGCTGCAGCAGGACTACATGGCTTCTCTATAACTCTGACTTTCTTTCTCCATGCAGGACTACATGGCTTCTCTATAACTTCACCTTTCTTTCTCAGTTTCGTCTTCCCTACCTTCCTATGTTCTGCCCTGCCATAGGTCCAAAGCAGTTTCTTTATTCATTAATGGTAACCACAGCATACAGAGGGAAATCCCATATCATCTTCCCATTTCTGTTTAAATGAAAAGGAAGGTTTTATCTTCAACATAGTAAAATTACATGTAACAAAACAGGTTTCAAGTAAGAGTTACAGTTACAATATTTATTTCTATTTTATCTTTTATCATAATTAAGGAAAACTATAACTATCAATGCTTCAACTCCATTAAAGACTCCAGAAAGATATAATATTACCTAAGTAAACAGGAAGTGCATTATATACAACTTTCAAAACTCTAGAAATGATAGAGACATCTCACTGCCTGGACAGTCACCCAAAGTTCTTCTGTATCATTGTGCCATCCCTCTTCAGCCTACAGGCCCATAGTATCCAACAGACTTTTCCATGAAGCAGGAAATTTCAAAGACAGTTCTGCCTATATTGGCAGTTTGTCAGTCACTTTCTTCTGTGTCCTGCAGAATGTCTGGCAGACTTTTTCACGAAGCAGAAACCCCAAAGGATCATCTTACCTTTAGGCAAGTTCAGCAGTCATTTCTCTGTGGGTCCTGCATGTCCAGTTAAGCAGTCCAAGCAAGAGCAGTTTCTTGCCCAAATGGCTAGCAAACTCCATAAGGAGCCTCTTTGATGCCCATCTTCCTCTTGAAGTAGATTGGTGCTGCCAGGAGCAGATGTGTCTTATTGTCATGAAACAGTTCCTAAACTCTTAAAAATTTTAAATGCCATATTCTGTAGTCTTTGAAAGATTTGAAGAATACCTATCTGAAATACATCTCTATACATCTACAAAATCTAACTAACATAACTGCAAACTTGACTATTATAGATGATTATCTAGTAGCCTATATTTCTTAATTATGCATTAAATTTTCAAATCAGCTGGACAAACACAGTATCTTAATCAAGATCAGAATACATATATACAGTATAACAAAATTGACCTTAAATTTGTATCAATAAACCAAGATCTATACCATTGCAAATATCTATAGCATATTCCCTTTAAAATGGAAGCAAACATTTATAGACAATATTTGGAAATATAGGCATAGTTCTGTCCAAACTTCTTCCTGCTGTTTATTGGGTGAAGTAATTTTTGAGGGGTGTTCAAGGCAAACATTTAAGGGGTCTTGGTCCATCAAACCACATTAGTCTGGGAGGATTCCACAGGTTCTCATCCTCTATTGGAAACAAAAGAAGAACCTCTTTTCCAAAGCAACATATCCTTATACCTGAAATTTTTATTTAATTATTTATTTATTTATAAAAATTTCCACTTCCTCCCCTCCTCCCAATACACTACCACTCCACCCACTCCCTCTCCTCCTTCCTCTCCAGTCCTAAGAGCAGTCAGGGTTTCCTGCCCTGTGGGAAGTTCAAGTTCCTCCCCCCTCCCTCCAGGTCTAGGGAAGGTGAGCACCCAAACAGACTAGGATCCCAAAAAGCCAGTACATGCAGATGAAACAAGACCCAGTGCCATTATCAATGGCTTCTCAGTCAGCCCCCATGTCAGCCACATTCAGAGAATCCAGTTTGATCACATGCTCATTCAGTCCCAGTTCAGCTGGCCTTGGTGAGCTCTCATTAGATCAGTCCCCTTGTACCAGTGGGTGAATGCACACCTTGCGGTCCTGACTTCATTGTTCATGTTCTCCCTCCTGCTCCTCATTTGGACCTTGGGGGCTCAGTCCGGTGCTCCAATGTGGGTCTCTGTCTCTATCTCCATCCATCGCCGGATGAAGGTTCCCTCTGATCTTGCCTTCCTTGCTCATGTTCTCCCTCCTTCTGCTTCTCATTTGGACCTAGGGAGTTAAGTCCAGTGTTCCAATGTGTGTCTCTGTCTCTATCTCCATCCATCACCAAATAAAGGTTCTATGGTGATATGCAAAATATTCATTAGTATGGTTATGGGCCAAGGCCAGTTCAGGTACCCTCTCCTCTGCTGCCCAGGGAACAATCTGGGGACCTCTCCTTGGACCTGGGAACCCCTCTTGAATCAAGACTCTTGCAAACCCTAAAATGGCTTCATTAGTTGAGACATATTCTTCCCTGCTCCCATAACCATCCTTCCTCCCTCCCCCATCCCATTCCCCCAAGCTATCCCCAATCCTCCCCTTCTCCCTTCTCTCTAACCATCTCCCCTTACTTCTACCCCCCACACCCGCCGTACATCAAAGTTTGCCTGGCAATCTTGTCTACTTCCAATATCCAGGAGGATAACTATATGATTTTCTTCAGGTTCACCTTCTTACATATTTAGCTTCTCTAGGATCACGAATCATAGGCTCAAAGACCTTTAATTGTGGCTAGAATCCACTTATGAGTGAGTACATAACCATATTCCTCTTTTTGGGTCTGGGTTACCTCACTCAGTAAAGCGTTTTCTATTTCCATCCATTTGCATGCAAAATTCAAGATGTCATTGTTTTTTACCAATGAGTAAAACTCTAATGTGTATATGTTCCACACATTCTTTAACCATTCTTCTATTGAGGGGCACGTAGGTTGTTTCCAGATTCTGGCTATTACAAATAGTGCAGCTATGAACATAGTTGAACAAATGCTTTTGT